AGAGCAAAGGTCGCAAAGTGAAAAAGATCCAACGCGATATATGGATATATCGTGCCCGTCGGCCGCCATCCGCGCGCGCTCTCCCATCCTTTACGCGCATTTCTTTTTTTTTCCATATAGCCACACGAAATTGCATATGGCGCCGTTCGTTCGTAGCAGCTGACGAGGTTTGCGGGGCGCTGCGCGCTCCTACGCGATACCGAGAGCACGCGACTTGCGAGAGGCAGAGCGCGCTTGCCACGAACAGCCCTCGGTGATGCTCGGCTCTCTCCGATCCGGAGTTTGCCTCTTTGTTACATCACTCTTCGGTCCTTATGTAGTATATAAGGGCGGATACATTATGTATCGCGTGCGGGTGCGCGGGGGCAGGCGACAGAGGCAGGGGCCGCATATGTCCCTCCCAGCTCTCGCTCCGGTTGTACATAACGCACACACGTATGCCGCGTTTGTATGTGATGTATGTGCATACACGCGAGCAAGCCGGCTGGGCGCACTCGCGCGGCGAGCAAGCCCCAGCTCCGTGTTACATGATGCGCGGTTACAACAAACAAGCGCCGGTGCGTTCCCGGCACATTGCATTATTACATAGAAACACGGCTGCGCTACGCGAAACGATTTGACGGCGAGCGGTACGACGTATGGAAAATTCATGCTTTCGTAATAATAGCGCGGGAGACGCACTGCAAGGCAATTTCACGAAATTTAAGAGCGACAACCTTCGCTTTACTTTGCATGACAAATATAAAAGAAATTCCTATTCCTAGGACTTCACCATATTTTTTTATGTCACTCTACAAAGCGTACTTGCATTGTCCACAAACGTATTAGTATGGATGCTGAACAAGTGAGGTATCGCATTATATGTGGAGAAATTAAACTTATATCCCAACTTAATTGTAGAGAATAAATGCCGTAGTATTGCAACTAAAATATTCCAAAAATTCATGTGCGTGTATGCGTATTTGCAAGTTCCGTTACTTGAAAAATGTACAAGAAATATAACCTTTTTCGATGCGAAACTTTTTAACTTCATAGTCGTGGAAAAAGATCACACTATGTAACGGTAAAAAAATTATATATGTTATATTTCTGTTATATATGTACATATTAGTATCGGTGAAATACCTGATACGACTTACTTAAAATATAAAATATAAAATAAGTTCCAGAAGCTTATTTAAAATATAAAATAGTAGGGATCGTTAAAAAGCTAATACGACTTATTAAAAATAAAAAATATAAAATAGGTTCCGAAAAATTGTTTAAAATATGAAATAACTTATTTAAAATATAAAAATACCTCATTTTATGTTAAGTAAGAAATTGATTTAAATAAGAAATTTATTTCGAAAATTTATTTAAAATATTAATTATATTTTTAATAAAAAATACTTGTATTTTAAATATTCTAATACAAAATTGTTTTTTTATGATTTTGTTTTTAAAGATATAAAATAGATTTCAAATACTTGTTTAAAATATCAAATAAGAAACAGATCAGAAAAAGTTAATTTAAATAATAAATATGAAATAATTCTCTTATTTTTAATTTAAAATTCATGTTTTAAATAAAATTATTTTAAATATGACCGACATCTAGTAACAAAAATATAACATATATAACTTTTTATATCGATGATCCATGCATAAGAAATACAAGCGCATAAAAGATAATATAATCGTGCACATATATGTGCATGTAAACTGATTAGTATATACATCGTATATACCGATCCAGTATATAGGAATCTAAAGTAGAATTTCTGCACTATTGTACTTTTCTTCTCTTGGAGAGTTGAAATATGCAGTTCTTTTTAGATCCTAATCCCTTTTTACCAATTATAATTATAACGATGAGATAACGCCTCTAAAAGATCATTTTACGGGTTGATTTAAATAAACTATGACATCATTCTACCAAGTAAACGCGCCTATCATATTAAATAAGGATCAACAGTCTTATATGTATAGATTAATTATATGCATAAGAAATACATATAAAATGGTATATATAAAATGATTTTAAAGTTTCTAAAATTGTATTTAAAACATTTTTACATCGAACTTATTATTCAACTTTTTATTTAAATTTGATATTGAAATTTACAAACAAAATTTATTCTGTTTTAGCCGCTTTTTATTTTTGAACAAGAAAAAGCATAGAGAAAATACAGAATAAAGCCTATGGCACACGATGCATTTTTTCCTACTGGATTGCTTGCGTTTTAGTGAAATACTGGAATTGCACATATAACTCAGCAATTTATTAAAATGCAAGCAATCCGACAGAAAAAAATGCATCGTGTGCCATAGGTTTAAGGGCGTGAGAAACTATACCTGTGTTACTTTCTATCGAAAAATTATAAATAAAAAAAAGTAGCATATGTCAATATTTTTGATATTAATCAGTTTTTTTTACAAAAAATAATATGGCTTTCTATTCACTTGTTTAAATTATTAACAATTTTCTTAATTCATAAGTTAAAAATATAAATGGGAGAGATAATTTGATTATATCGAAATACAGATAAAATCCGCTGGCACAAGAGAGCTATTTAAGTCGATTTTTATAACAGTATTTTAATATTAATTTATTTTAGTTGAAAATATAAAATAAAATTTTAAAAATTACGTTTTAAATTAATTAATCTAATTACATAAATAGTAACGTATAAATGAAGTTTTTAAATATTAAAAAGTTAATATTATTATATCAGGAATTATTAAAATAAAATTCACATATGCATTATTTTCTTGAATTTGAAAGAGTCAATCTATTTTTTTAGATAAGCATATTAATATTTATCATGCATTAAAATTTAAGGGATGTATAGAAAAATATATATATTAAATAGTACTATATATAATATATTTAGATAATAAGAAATAATAAGCCTTGTAAAACATATAGCACAGATCATTCTAGCATTATTACATTGTAAATGTTGTAACAATAAGTCTCTTCGCGCTGCTTAAATCCCCAAAATGTTTGCACTTAGGAGAAGATAAATATACAGAATATTTGGAATTTAAATGTCAAAATTTCGGGAGCGTGTAGAGGATCGATAAACTAAGAAAAAAAAGTCTTGTAGAGATGCTCGTTTTTGCTTTGTTTTGGAGAAAATTGCAAAAAAAGACGAACCATAGTTTTCATTTTTGCACTTTCTCATTACTTTTTCACATTGCATTTAATCACTTGCTCAATGTACCTTGTTCAAAATATTGACCTTTTGTCGCAGAAGCTATACACGAATATATCATATCAGTATATTCAACGTTAGAATACATATGCGGCATATTATATATTGATAGAAGTAATTCATTCGATGAGGTCTGACGAGCAACTGACGAATTTACAGGATTTGAAAAGCAGAAATGTAAACAAACAAAAAAAAAAGTTTTCACCTAAAAACGAAATTATTGTTTTCGTGCACGATTTCAGCGACGATAATACTTCAGAGACACTGCGAGAACGAAGCAACTACTTTTTTTTGCAATTTTCTCCAAACGAAGCAAAAACGAGTATGTCTCTATAGTACTTTTTTTTAGTTTATATCGATCCTCTACACGAAATTTTGACATTTGAATTCCAAACACCCTGTATATTCGAATGTTGACGAGAGAAAGCGAAGATGTTTAGTACAAAAAATGCCAGTAACGCAAACAACTAATGTTGCTGCAAGATATTGTATGGAAAGTGATCACACACAGTTGCTATCTTTCGACTAATATTCGACTACGGATTGACGATTTTCCTGCCGTTAAGTACCGAAATTACCGAAACTTCATTGGAGCATAATATTCACTAACAAAAAAAGG